TTTATGAGTTGATAAAAAGATTACCTCCCCTGGGGGACGACTATAATCCACTGGGTTCCTCCCGGTAATGATTTCCATTATAAGAATGCCAAAACTATACACATCACTTCTCTCATTCAGCATGCCCGTGCTTGCGTACTCTGGGGCCACGTAACTACAAAAGAACCGTAAACAAACATATACTTGAAACACACACACACACACACACACATATATATATATAGGATGTGGTTCAAATGAGAACCAAATCTTAGCGTGAGAACCGCTGTTTTTAATCGTATATAGTGCTAATTGTGTTTTAGTGCTATTTTTAACCAGTATGTATTTTATTAAAAATAGCAGCACAATTTATAATAACGTTTGTGAAAATGACAGTGTAGTACTGAAAATAGTATCATACACAATTAAAAATAGCATCAAATACGGTTCTCACCAGAACTTTTTATTTCAATCAGCCCCCTATGTGTGTGTGTGTGTGTGTGTGTAACATATATATAAATGTGTGTGTATATAAATCATCATGTGATACATGACTCACCCAAATGTTCCCATAACTCGTGTAGTAATGTAACTCCTCTCAGAACCAATCAACTTTGCAAGACCAAAGTCGGAGACCTTTGCATTCCACTCTTTGTCTAACAAAATGTTGCTCGATTTAATGTCACGGTGAACGACCTTAGGTTCGAGGCCCTCGTGTAGGTAGGTTAGCCTAAGAAATTCACCTTGTTTTAAGTTACTAAAGAGGAACCAACAATATTTATCGAAAAAAAAATAATCCACCGAGTGGTTTACTTTGGATTTTACCCCTTTGCAGTTCCAAGAATAATTCGCATACGAATTTCCCAAGTCAGAGGGCTTTGAGGCCCAACATCTCCATGAAGCCATTGCTCGAGGTTCCCATTGTCGACATACTCGTACACGAGCATCCTGAAATTAAGACGACTCGCAAAATTCACATCCATGCAAGAACATTCAAGATCTTCCTTGAGCTAAGAAATTAAAAAATGAGAAAGACCATAACAGAGCTAATTCTGAAGTTATACGAGTACCTTTGAGCACCTTCAGCACAATATCCGAGCAATCTCACCAAATTCTTGTGGCGTACACGTCCAATGGCTTCGACCTCAACCTTAAACTCTCTCTCGGCTTGACCCCTTTACAAAAGACCACATTTAAGAAGCAAATCAAATAGATAAACAATTTAAAATAGAACAAAATAAATCAAGCTGCCAGCACAGGCTTCACTTGAATAAAGATGTCAAATTCTTCAATCCAAAATTAGCTAAAACCCCAAATGTCAAATAACCCAAATGAACAAGTTTCACAAATCACACCATAAAGGATGATGAACCCTCCAAACAGAAAACCCACATGCAAATTCAGCACCTTACACATCATAATACTGGGCTGTAAAAGTGAAAATTCACAAAAATGACTAAAATTGCACTGTAACGAAAACAAAATTGATTTTACACAGTTTTTGTAGAATAACCGTACTTGTTGTTGAGCAGATTTTTGACAGCCACAACAGCCTTATCCTCCAAAACCCCATGGTAAACAATCCCATACCCTCCTTCCCCAATCACATTCTCATCCGAAAAGCCATTTGTGGCCTCCTCAAGCTCCCTCAGCGTGTACCAGTGGCCCCACCCCAAATGCGAGACCTCCGGCCCGGAAACAGCAGAATCCGCCTCGCCACTCTTGCAGACCGGCCCGGAACCCGAACACGACTTCTCCGGGTAGGCAATCCGGTGCCCCTTTCCAACCTCAATGTGGATTCGATTGTCCTCTTTCGGGTCGGGTTCCGGGTTCTGAACCGGCCCAGGCGCGGGGAGCAAGAGCTTAGGGTTGGTATCAGAGACTCGGTCCGGGTCGGACCGAATTTCCTGTATTTCTCTAGAGACTTTAGGGATGGAGGTGCTCTTTTGGGGTAATTTTAGCAGTGACGAAGTTCTCTTGTTCCTTCTCGAGGTGAACCAGAGACAGATTAGGAAGAGGAAGCCGACAATTGCGGCGCAGACGCATAATCCGAGCAGAACCCATAAACGGAGACCGAGAATTGAGGTCCGTTTGGACAGCTCGTCCGTCAGATACGATGGCTTGCTCCCATCGGACATTTTTTGTAGCCGGTGAAGAAAAATGAAAAGGAAATGAAAAAAAAGGTTCAAGCTTTTGACATTTGAGCTCTGTATGAGACAGAAAAAGAAAAAAAATGGAAAAATAAAAGGAAAAAACAAGGACCTGTGGTGAAAAAATGGCAGAAAAGAACACACACGGGACAGAAAGGCGAAGAAGCAAGAGTGGGAGTGAGAAGAGAAAAGCTGTAGTGATGGGGACTTGTGGGAAAATGGGGACAAAAAATTAAATTAAATAAAACCCTACCAATTTTGTAGTGTGCAATTTATTGGGTGCCACATACAGTACACCATTATTATGTTTTTATTTAGGGAGTAAATTATTTGACTAGTTTTGGTAATTTAATTATTTTAGCATTCACATGGAGCTGTTTCATTGGCTGTTGGCTCCGTAACGGAGCCAACAATTGGCTCCATAATGGAGTCAATTGTTGGCTCCGTTACGGAGCCAACAGCCAATGAGACAGCTCCATGTGGGACTGTCCCATATTGGAGGCATGTGGGACAGAGCCAACAGCCAATGAAGCAGCTCCATGTGAGGTTGTCCCACATTGGAGGCATGTGGGACAGCCTCACATGGAGCTGTCCCATTGGCTGTTAGCTTCGTAATGGAGCCAACAATTGGCTCCATATCATTACTGAACATCAATAATGCTAAGGAGCCAACTGTTGGCTCTGCAATGGAGCCAACAGTCAATGCAGCAGCTCCATGTGGGATAGAGCCAACAGCCAATGAAACAGCTCCATATGGGGTTGTCCCACATTGACAGAGCCAACAGCCAATGAAGCAGCTCCATATGGGGCTGTCCCACATTGGTGGCATGTGGGACAACCTCACATGGAGCTGTCCCATTAGCTGTTGGCTCCGTAATGGAGCCAACAATTAGCTCTATATCATTACTGTCCATAACATAATAAAAAAGAATTTAGAGTGTAATCAACTTAGTTTATAGGTCCAGTTATATATCTTTTCATAATGGGCCTACGACTATGAGGGATGTATAACTTTTATTTTTGAAAAAAGAATTGAGAAGTAGTTGGTGAAAAAAAAATGAGAAAAATCTGGAAACTTTCTTGATTTTTCTTTTTTGTTATGCTTTCTCACTACCTTTTCCTTAATTTCTTGGATTCTTTGCTTGTTTCTTGTTTGGATAAATTTCCCGTTGGGAAAAATTGTTTGGTTGTGTAGTGTGTGCATCACTACATTGTGAATGAAGGTAGGGATGGAGGCATGATTGTGTTATAAATTTTGATTTGCTTTTTTGTTGGTAAGGACAAAAGTCTTGTGATCTTTTAGTAAGAGAAGATGCTATCCATAGTCAAAATTTCAGGCTATTTTGTTCATTTCGTTTGTGGATGACAACAATGTGGAAAATGCAAGTATAGTAATGAAGTGCTGGTACGAACGAATTAATTATTAATGTTTTTGACTTTTAAGTTTACCTTAGTGTAATTTACATCCATGGATAGTACCGTCTGATTTCTTTTATTCTAATTTTATTTTCCCCCTGTTTCTCTTTGTTTCTCAAGGCAATTGAAATAAATTCCCACCTGTCTTTGCCTTTGTTTAGTAACTTTTATTACTAGTATTATATAATAACATCTTCTTTTAACAGTTGAATAGAACGTGCCACATATTAATAACATTTCTATTTAGAAGAATAGTACTTCTTGTTGTTGATAATTTTCTCAGCCGATTTGTCTTATCAAAATACACACTTTGATTATCATAATGAACACAAAATTAGTGTGTATTAAGAGGGTTGTCTGTGCCGCCGAATTGAGACCCTTGCTAATCGTTGAAACAAAAATATTCAACATAATTGATTAATCTTAAAAAACTCATGTCGATTTACCCGAATCCGTCCATCTATTATGAACGCAAACATACTTCAAGAAGATCCAAAACAAAATGTATGCAAGAGTCCATCTATTATGAACGCAAACATACTTCAAGAATATCCAAAACAAAATGTATGCAAGAAGCTGACCGCCCAATTACAAAGTAAACGTCTCATCCTTCAAAAGCCGAGAATCACTTGTCATTTTGCAAATGGTGGATCTCTATTTCAATTGACACGTGTCCCACTCACATGACACCACGACTCAATATATGCCATGATGCTTTTTACATTTTTTACCCTATATAAATTTATAAATTGACAAAAAAAAGAGTTTCTCACAATCGATCCTCTTTTATTAAAAAATAAAAAATGCTACAAGTACATAATAAATGTACATAAAAGTGTACACAACACTCACATGGAATGGGCTCCACTTGATTTCTTATTTTTTGCCAGTCTCACTCAATGTGAGTGTTATGTACACTTCTATGTAAACTATTATGTACCTATAGCATTTATCTTCAAAAATAGAATCAAGCTCGAGATGAAACCTTTTTGGCACGACACGAGGATGATTATAAACCGCCCCTAACGAACGATCGGCTCTTCTTTGAGCATGATGTATCACTTTGTGTCGTGGCTAATGGTACCAACTACCTTGCTTGTTCAGAATCTTCTACCTTCTTTTCTTTGTCGGCGACAAAGGATCTCTCAACCCCGGCGTTACATCCATAGCGTCATGGTTAAACATTTGAAGTTTTTTCCTTGGTCAGGGAAAGATCTCGGATCACCAGCTAAGGCCCCTATCGCTCAGTTGTAATTGACCTTGAGAGGGTTTCAAGATTTTGTGACGCAAAGTGCTTTAGTAGATCTTGGTTATGTTCATTTAATAAACAAGTCAAGCTAGGGTTTAGGTTTCTTTATTCATTTAATTTTGATTTTTTTTTATTGACAATATTGGTGTCAGTAAAATACTAAAAAATAAAGAAAAAGTTGAGCTCGAACATATAGCTCAGCTCAGCTCAAACAACCACGACTTTCAAAATTGGACCAGACTGCCCGATCCAACAGGTTGGATCAAGAACCGGTCTATTGACCGTTCCTATTCACTGAAATAAACCGGTACCACCGAACCGGTCAATCGGCCAAAAACCAGCTTGTCGGACTAGTTGGACCGGAACAGAGCTTTTTTTTTTACAAGAAAAAGATATTAATATATTCTAAAAGACTTTTAAAATAAAGGGTTAATTGCAGGAAAAATCCTGACCTTTGCTTAAATTGCAAATAAAACTTGACCTTTTTAATTTGGCAAAAAAATACCAAACTTTTTATAATTTTTGCGTCTCGAAGTCACATTCCAGCCAGATGACGCTGACATGGCATGTCGTTAAATTGATGTGACACCGGTTTTGTGACGTGGCTATCAAGGAAATACACCTGGAGGAAAAAAAAAAATCAAACATATAAATAAACTATCTACATAGATCGATTAATCAGAATCAGAAAAAAGCAAGAAAATGGGCAGCCCCAGCCTCGATTTTGTTTGCAAAATGAAGCAACAAAATGAGAAGAAGATGAAGCAAAAATACCCGTTCTCCATTTACGGCGAGAAGCTGCTTAAGAGGGTCGCTGGCCGCTGTTGGTCGAAAGAGAAACCGACAGGACGACTGCGATGAACTCGGCGACGTCGAATAGAGCCCGTCAGATTTCTGCTGCTAATAAAAGGAACCGACGGAGGGTTGCTGTGAGGTGAGCGGACGGCCGCCCTCAAGTTCGCCGGCGACCGGTGACTGGAACAAGCGCGACGGCGGACTAAACCTTGCTACTCGGTTGGCTACTGATTTCTCGTCGATGGAGGAAAATAAGGGACAAGATTATGGAGGCGATGGAATTTGGGATTTGCTACTTGCTGAGAGGAGTCGTGCGTCTGAGGAGAAGGATGAAGACGATTGATGGCCGCAATATTGAGGGTTTCTAAAATTGGGCGAGATTGATCGAAGAAGGATGGGATTTCTGACTCTGCTATGTCGGCTGAGAGAAAATTATTGGGGCCAAAATTGCAAGGGACGTGTCACCGACGTGGCTATCTTACTTGGAAGGGACTGAGATGACGTGTCACCGAGTATTGGCCATGTCAGTTTTACAATCTGTCACGTCATCATGTATTGGCCGGAATGTAACTTCGAGACACAATTACAAAAATTATAAAAGATTTGGTATTTTTTTTGCCAAATTATAAAGGTGGAGTTTTATTTGCAATGTAAGCAAAGGTCAAAATTTTTCCTGCAATTAACCCTAAAATAAAATACATAGTAAAATATAATGGATATGCATAAATTATTTATGAATTGGTTAAGTACATGAATTTTTAAAATTTATTCAATAAAGTATTATATATATATATTTCAATAATATTAATAAATTAAATATTGAGTCAACCGATTCAACCACTGGTTCGACTATTGATTCATTGAATCAGTAGCTCAGCCGATTTGATGGCAGATCCAGTTTTGAGAACCTTGAAGTTAACACCTCTAGACAGAGTTAAGATATAAGCTGAGAAAGCTTTCATAGTCACAGCAAGACAGTGTAACAACATTATTGACATAATGTCAGTATAACAAAGTAAGTAGCTCTTGAAATTGATTCAATTTCATCAGAGTAGCACATTCCTATAACATCGCTGTAATAATAATGGTTTGCCTTGCTATTCAATTCCCATCCACCTGAATTATTAAACCGAAATCAAACACGGTATCACCTTCTAATCCCTTAATTACGTTTAATCACAACGAAACATCTCAAGATGGTGACGAGTTGTCTCTCGAGCAAGTCGCGTCTAATTGCAACCTCGACAGTGTATCATCTTCACAAGTACGCTGCTGAAATATGTAAAAAGAGAGTTGAAAAAAAAAAAAAAAAAANTGAAAAAAAAAAAAAAAAAATGTCGGTCGTCAGAATGAAACCATTATTATTCCCGACTCGAACCCCAAACGATCATTTTTTTTCCCCCTTTGGGACAGACAAATGATGAAAATGGCCATAATGGTTCTCGAAATTAGATGAAGCAATACTCGGTAGAAAGACCGAATTAGAAGTGTTAGTGATATGCTGAGTCGAATGGCCTTGATTGATATTCTCCATTGTGTTTTGCATAAGAAGATCTTGGCCTTTGGAAAGTGAGCTTGACTCTTTGTTTGAATCTGGAAATGAATTCCCATTAACCAGATGATCTTCTTCTTGTGGGCCCGTTAATGTCGATGGTAGCGATCCGAGTGTGTAGCCTGGATGTATACTCATTCCATTTCTCATAGTTAGCATCTGCACAAGTAATATATGAGAGAAAATTTAGGAAGCCTCAACGAGATTCAAGTTAGTTTAACTTGGTGCAAATTTTTTGGGCTAAATTGCATTTCTAGTCCTGTTGGTTTAACGCTATAGCAATTTTAGTCCCAAGATTCTAACATTTCGCCTTTTGGTCATGTGGTTTAATATTTTTCATTTGAGGACTGAAATAGCAACAAATTCCCAAATTTGTATCTGTTGGATGAATTTTTTATTTGCAATTCCAGTCCTGTAATTTAAACTTTTGTTGCAGTTTCAGTCCTCAAATGATGAAATTGCAGCAAAATATTAAATTACAGGGCGAAACGTTGGAACCTTGGAACTAAAGTTGTTATGTCGTTAAATCAAAAGGACTAAAAATACATTTTTTCCTATTTTTGACTGCAAACTGTAAAACTGTACAAAATCTGCCCTTAAAAGAGGCAGACTTTGTGTGCAACCTCTCTTGAAAATACATTCATTTCCTTGCTAGAGCACACTATTCAGGATAAAAACACATGTAAAGTGTGTGCTGTTTCTTTTTTCAACAAAATTTACAAGGTGTTTTGTAGTTACTAGTTATACTAAACATAAGAGCAGTCTTGTAGTTATCGTACTTTTTAACTGAATATATATGTGTGAGATCATTCATATTCACAGATATAACTAAGTGCAGCTACATGCAACCTTCATAAGGAATCCTTTTTTCCCGACGGAATAATTCATATTTAAACTTCATAGTGAAATGTGAAACCATAATTTCATTAAACAAACAAGTAATAAAATCAGATGATAAAGGAACACATTAACATACAGCTTAAACGACACAAAAGGATGAATAGATACATCCGTAAGGAAATTGAGAAAAATGAACAAATGGAAATAAATGAACATATGAACTACTGAAAGACATTGCTGTTAAGAACCATCACAAGCCAAATCTTATAAGGGAACAGAAATGTAAACCTGAACTTGTAACTGCAGCTGCTTCAGATACTCTATGGCATCATCTAACATTGACGCCTTATCCGTCTAGCATTCACAGAAA